GTGGATTTGGGCATTGTTTGCTTAGTAGCTGTTGTTTAGTGTTTCTTTTTTAAACACATGATGCCTAACTTAAAAATTTGGATTTGAAATTGACCTCTGCAAAAACTTTTATTTTTATGGCAAATTAAATTTTTATGGACACTTAATTCAAACTAAATAGTAATTACCGGTAGGTGTTTCAGTTGCTTTTATTATATAGGAACATGAGAGGTTGCAATAATTGTGGCACGGGAGCCTCCAGTTTTTAGATAAAGACCACACGAGGGCAACTTATATTCTTCGGGTGGTATACCAAACCAATAACAAAGGTTTGTTCAGGTATGGTAGATCTAAGAATACAGATATGCCAAAAAAGTAAAATCAAAGATAAAAACACAATTTCTATATTGAATAAACTTAAATGGAAGGTTTGAGTTTTCAATTTTCGTTTAGTATAAGACTAAGCAACTGCATCAAAATATTATTTTTAGTGACAAGTAACACATATTTATTAGGGCTGCCAATTAGGGCTGGGAACTGTGCCCTTAAAATTGTTTTACAATATTTTGTAGAACTATCTTATTGATAAAATTGACAATAAAAACGCTCTTCAATAATTCTTTGAAGTCCTTCTTAGGTAACTATATAGCTGTGGATGAATGTCTCAGTAATCACAAACACTACTCTTCAGGACACAGATTACATAAAGAAGTGTAATTTATATCACTAAACATACCATAATAATCACATTTAAGCCTGTTCTTCAAATATATACCCCAAAGGAAGAAAAAATGAAAGAAGAAAAATGATAAAAAAAAAAAAAATCAGAATTCACCCTATTTCTTTTTCTGAGATTTTTATCATCACTAATTCTTATTTATCGTTTAAACATTGAATCAAAATTGTTGTCAGGACTAGAAATGTATTATGGAACGATAAATACCCATCCCTACTGCCTATTACTTTGAAAGGGAGTGTTTTAAGCAGTAGACTAAGAAACATAGAAACCCACCCAGAACTTGACGAGGAAGAAAGCATTCTGAGGTCCTTTCTCGTAAAGTTCTTTGAGTCCGCCTTTTTTTTCGGGGAACTTGTCGTAGATCTGTCGGATTTCCACAGCCTCAAGCAGTGGGTCACTGTAGGAGGGATTTGTCTGTCCAATGTGGACGAACAGGTGCTTGCTGTACTGCAGTGGGTAGAGACCAGAGGTTTGCAAATGTCAGTTAAAAACTTCAGAACAACATAACATTTCGGCAAGAACCATAGAAAGAAAGTCAAATGATGTAGAAACCTAATAAGCTTCCAGGGACCTTTTCTTTCCATCTAAATTAAAATAAAGTCAATTTCTGTATCCATATACAATTAAACAAAAAGTTAATTTTGATTGAGTCACACCAAAGCACAATTAGAGCTGAAGTACGTTTAAGTTAACCTTGCGCTGCAAGCTGAACTGTCACGAGATCTGAGTTTTCAGTCTCTTAGACTTATTTCGACGCATACAGCTTTACAACAGTGAATGAGCAGCTTACAGCAGTGAAATTAGCATTTTCATTTATTAAGTACAGCAGTGATCAGAAGAATATCGGGCAAAATGTAATAGAAACATTGAGGTGAGTTCTATTTAAAGTGATTTGTAAATTCGCCATGTAGTCTAAATATGATGTTTAAATGTGTGATGCAGAGTCTAACAACAAATACATCTTCAAATACTCCAGCTAATACGTGCATCTCGTAATAACCAGCGAGTCAGACCAATGACATTCAAGCGGTGTTTTTTGGGGCGGGACATGTAGGAATGATGACAGTCAGAAGGGCCTTGCCGGGTCTTAAAAACATGGCTACGCTGGAGGACTCACCTGTCGCTACTGCAACTGACTCAGTTTTAGCTAAAATAGATTAAAAATTTCTCATTTAAAAAAGGAGCAAAGAGAAGAACTTTGTGCATTTGTAGATGATGATGAAAAATGTCTGCTTTTTCTTCCGTCAGAATTTGGAAAAAGTTTAATTTATCCGCTTAATCCACTGAAATGTCACGATTCACTGCTACGATTGGATGAAAGTGTGTTATGTAAGGTGGGTACTAGCTGGCACGTCACCCAATCAGCTCAAAGTATTGTACTAAACGTCTCTCCTTTTCATGAAAAGCCACAACGGCAGTCATCCAACACTGATAAAGTAGAACTCAACTCAGTATCATATCGATCTGGCTACTCCCAAGTTTTAAGTATCTCATTAAAGCCACCAAAATGTTGTATGATCTCCTATGATCACCACATGTTGTATGTTTGGTAAGACTATGGCAGTGCAAGCTTCAACTTACGTTGTCCATGTCTCTCGGCACCTCCATGAAGGCTGAGTACTCCAGCATTCGCAGTTTAGATGAAGCGATTGTCCGATCTTGCCACACTGGAACTGCAGTCGCTGATGGTGCAGGAGGGGGCGCCAAGGGCTCATAGGCTGGGCAAAGACACAGGTTTAAAAAAAAAATACAAATTTTAATAACAATGACAAAACAAATAAAAATAAAACACTTTCAACAATTCTATGTCACCTACATGGTATGGGCTGTTGTACAGGTCCTGGTAGGGTTGAGTATGGGGGCTGTACAAAAGGTTTAATGCTGGAAGACAATAAATGACCCAGTCAGACAAAAATCTTATCAGATGTTTGTAGCAAATACTTCCAACTTTGTATCTCTTATTGTATTAAACTATCAATTTGAAATAGAATAAAATAATGTGTTGCTGCACCAGCTAAGCGTTAAGTTCACCTTTATGCTACATAATAGTACAAAACAGCACCAGTTAATACTTTCCTGACAAATCCCAGAAAACCAGTTAATGGTTTTGGTACTTTTTATACACTAATCCATATCAAGAATTTTATTTTGTTTTTCCATTTTTCATTCACATTTAGTCACTTCAATAACTTGGTCAAGGTAAATTCAACAAAAGTGAAACAAAAATAAATACAGTTCTTCAGGAGGATTTGGTGCTGTTTTGGGATTAAAATCAGATCTTTTCTAAGGAGAACTTACACATGGCTGGTGCAGATGGGCCCAGGAGTCCTTCCCGGGTTGACATCTAGAATCATCCTAGTGTTGAAAAATGTTATTAGGTAAAAAAAAAAAAATGCAATACCCACCTGACATAAACCATACCCTCATCACTGATTCACTCAATTATTTTTTTTTTGATTTATTTGTTGTACCAAGTATTCCTGATTTCTGTGTTTACTTACTCCTGAGATGGTCCTGGCTGTACTGGGATTTGAGCTGTCCAGAACTGGAGAAAGAGAGACAGGAAAGGGTTTTATGTTTTGTTTTTAAATCATTCTTTTAACTGCGATAAAATCTGTTTGCATGCAGTTATTTCTTTTTTATTAATCTACTCACTCGAGGTGGTTGGTATGGGGCAGGAGACAGAGGAGGAAGGTGATTCTTTATCATACTTGGTGAAACAATCTGTGCAGATGACAGGGCAGCCATGTTCTGAAGGGCTTTGTCTTTGGAAGCTTGATCCTGAAAAGCAACAGAAAAATAATAGAGAAATAGTTGTATGACCTGTCTCGAGAACATCAGGGCTGAATGTTTGACAATTATTTCAAAAATAACTAATCTAGCTGTCAGCTGGAAATATGTTAGCCTAGCAGTAACACTATGCAGTTCTGATTAAAGAGCAGCTGTCAGAATGAAACAGAGTGAAGGACAGAGAGATGAAGCAGCGTTGATCTGATTATACAGTAGATGGTCAGTATGTTATTAAGGAAATTACAAGAAAAAAAGAGTACAGTGATTTAAAGTGGATCCAAGTGATTGCAAAACCCAGGAATAAAGAAAGGTAGCTAAAAATGTCTAAAGCCATTCAATCTAAATGCAAACGTCCTGAAGCTGTTACTCATTTTGAAAGAGTATAAAACCAAACTTTGGGATTTAAGGAAGTACGTCAAAAGACTTTTAAATATACATATGCTTTTTTATAAATTTTTTTCCATTTTAGATTGTAAAATAGTTAACTTTTGGAATCTTATCTCTGACTATGTGAAAGAAAGACACCTAAGAAGTAAGAACCTGTGTAGAGAACAACACCTAATGCAAAGCAAGCAGGGGGTTTGATTTCTGGCAAAGGCTGAGGGGCGAGAATGCTACATCAGCAGTGCTGTGTTAAGAACTTTTTGCTTAAAGGTTGCCTTATAAACGGGATAGCAATGGGGTGGGACCCATATCTGCAGAGGGTCGTAGCAAAGGGATAGTGCACTAGTATTGCCAAACAAAAGGGAGCAGGGAAGCATATTACAGAAGGCAGTTTCACTTACCAAATTCATCGCCTGAATCAAAAAAGAGAGAAACCATTAGTATTGTGCACTTCTGTATAATGTTTTGATGCTGTCTTCTAAGACATATAAAACTGACAGTGCTTTTAACTCTAAGGTCAGTGTAAAATTGCCGAGTTATGTGTAAATGTATTGTTCAGCTAAACAAACCATAACCGACAATCTGCCAATAACTTACTAAACCACAGTTGTTTGGTATTTTTTGAAAGCAAAATATGTATTGTATTTTTTTTCATTCAAAAAGCTAAAAGTGAGATATGCGAATTATTTATATGGAACAATGTTTTATTGTCTCATTACTGACCTAAAGGAGCATAGCAGAGTTTTTGCAGATGTTAGACCCCTTTGGGGCAAGTTCGAATGACACTAGTGTTGTGATGCACAAGGGAGAAAAGGAAAACAATTGCAGTTTGCAGCTGTAACGGCACGGGTCTCTTGTTTAGACAGATTACGGATTACAGACTCTGGTGTTGTTATAAAAACTGAAATTATTTTAAATGAAATTTTTCAAGGCTGAAAGGGCCTCAATAATGGAGCCTAATTGGCATTTATGGTAATTTATGGTTATTGAGAAAAACTTATCTTACATGTCGAGCAATTTTTATGACATGTATGGAACAAAACAACAACTTTAAAACATATAAGGAGAATTTTATTTTAAATGTTCAGTAAGTGATTTAACTGTGTTAACTTTGCATGTAGTTTATAGTTAGTTTAATTTAATGACAGAGTGTAAATAAAATGTTAAATTAACTGGTTCTGCATGTGATTGTCCATGTGGATCAAAAAAACTCCAAATCATCCTGACTTAATCATCCGGCTTGTCTTACTCACAGAAATCTCCCTCAGGTTCTTGCACTGAACGTGAATTAATTCATCACCACGAACAGTTAACCCACTCTTTGGCTGCATGGCAAAGACATTCCGATCAGCAGATGGAGAAGTTTACAGAAATGTTAAAGGAGGGGCATAACAGAACCACTCCTGTGGGGTTTACCCCCTCTACAGCCAGCACAACCACCATTTGGAGTTCTCATTTTCATTTTGCCAAACTCCCCAAACGAGAGCCTTTTGCGGGTGAAATTGGAAGTTGTTGTGGATTTCTGTTACAATGTTCACTAGTTTTCAGTCGATCCCCAATGTCTTTTTGGTTTGATAAGGACATAATCTCATTCGTGATTGGAATATTGAGAAGTCGAGCTCTGCAGTGAACTGAAGCAAGATTTGGGGGTGAGTTTCAATTCCAAATTTGACCAGTTTATCTCTGAGTTCAAACAGACATTCGGATATACCTAGTCAGTTTCTTACATTTCCTGTAAGACGTTGAAATTGAAATAGGGTGAAAAGCCAGTATCAGACTTTACCATTAAGTTTTGAACTTTAGCAGCCTCTTCAGCCTGGAATCCTGAAGCGTTAAAGGGAGTTTTTCTTCAAGTTTAGATGAAAGAATTAAAGGAATAGTACACCCAAAACATGATTAGCCTTCATTTTCTACTCACCCCCATGCTGAACAACACTCTGGAGTACTTTTTTGATATCTCAAATGCATCTGGAGATCTGGGAGGCTTCTTGCTGTCTGCTGACATTCAAATAATGGAGGTCTATGGTGACCGAGACAGAAAGGTCCATAAAAGTCCTCAAAAAACGTTTCAATATTCCTCCATACTGCTCGTCCAATGTATTCCAAGTGTCCTGAGTGGGTAGCATTCAGAATTTACTCGAAACAAAGTCATTTAGAATGTTTTTAGAGCATAAACAGTAGTGTATAGGATTTCCTGAAAGCGTGCGCCTGCGAGTTCACGACGCTTCGGAAACCGCGGCAGACCAAACCGGATGAAAGTGCGCATTCAGCTCGGCAAAGAACTCATGCTCTTCCTCAACACTGAAGTCCTCAGACATTTTTCTTTCGTTGTTTCTTTCTTTGCACAGGTAAACAGCACATTTCTTCTTCTACGCTTGCATTATCGGCAGAGCAGACGCTGAATGCGCACTTTCATCTGGTTTGGTCTGCCGGCTTCCGTAGCGTCGTGAACGCGCAAGCGCGCGCTTTCAGGAAATCCTATACACTACTGTTAATGCTTTAAAAACATTCTAAATGACTTCGTTTCGAGTAAATTATGGACGCTACCCACTCAGGACACTTGGAATACATTGGACGAGCAGTATGGAGGAATATTGACACGTTTTTTGTGGACTTTTATGGACCTTTCTGCCTCGGGCACCATAGACCTCCATTATTTGAATGTCAGCAGACAGCAAGAAGCCTCCCAGATCTCCAGATGCATTTAAGATATCAAAAAAGTACTCCAGAGTGTTGTTCAGCATGGGGGTGAGTAGAAAATGAAGGCTAATCATGTTTTGGGTGTACTATTCCTTTAAGGATAAACGTGAGCAGAGAGGAGTCTAAAACTAACCTCCCTGCCTATTCACCTGGACAACAGATTTTGAGAGGGAGCTTTACCTCTTCCACAATCTCATCTTCCTGATTGTTCACTACCTTCTGACTCTTCCAGGCTCTAAAAACAAAAAACCATTGCCATGTCTAGGCAATACCCCAATGACAAGGAACCCAATATCTCAACCGTCATTCAACCTTCCTGCTCTGTGAGGGCGTTATTGTGGGAAATAAATGAAGAGGTCCTGGAGGCTCAGCAGTCCAAACCAGATGCTGGAATTGGATCAATGAAACAGGTATATGATTTTTCTTCCATTAGGTCCTGCCTCACTCACTGGGCCAATGGCAAAATTCTCCTGCCATCCTGGAATCGACTGGACTCTCACACTCCATAAATTACATTTCTGGTGGCCTACATGTAAGGATGTTCAAGTCTGTCTAGTGTGTGCCCAAACAAAGCAAGTTACTCGCCCCCCAGTGGTCTTCTTCAACCATTACCCCCCTACAGTAAATGTCCGTGGTCACATATCGCCTTGGATTTCTTAACTGGACTACCACCATCTAAGGTGGTACTTTTGGATTAATCGGCCCATTTTAAATCCAGGCAGTGCTCAGTCTGTCTGTGGTTCACCTCAATCTGTCAGATCATTTAACAATTCAACCTGCTTTTTATGTATCTCTGATCAAACCTGTCCCGTCTAGTCCTCTTTGCCCTGCTTCCAGTAAGCCTACACCCACCCGGACATTGGTGGGCACCCAGCCTTCACTGTATGAAGGATTTTGGATGCTCATCGCTGGTCAATTGGGAGGGTTATGAGTCTGAGGAAAGGACTTGGATCGCTCCTTCCTGTCACAGAGAGGATCTTTGCTGATGCCTGAGCTGACCCGTGTTGCAGCACACTTGAGAATATTTCTCAATCAGGATGAATAGCATGTATATACGGAGGTAAAGGATCATCTCTCTTCCCTGGATGATTACGCCCTGATGGTATTCCTGCCAAAGATCTAAACCAGGAATATCCTTTTTGGTGAAACGTGTCTTCTTGTGAATCTCTTTTAATGTGTACTCTGTTATTGTTACAGGCAACCAGTAAGCCTCAGTTCATCTCTTATCTTCATGGAAAAGGTCTGACCTGTGTGCAGCAGTTCTCAACCTTAATCATCTGCCTGCCTGCTTTCCAGCACATCATTTCTTTCAAGTACCAACACTCTCTGATCTCACTCACATTCTCCTGGACCTCTGGGGTACAGTCTGCAAAGCCCACTGAATAAAACCCCTTCAGATTCATGTTACCTCCCCTTCATCTCTCAAGTGGGCAAATCAATCTGCCATCATTTATCATCAACCAACTCCTTCCTGATCAGACTAAATTCGCCCCTCAGACCAACCAGAAATTTCAACTGACTTCCTGCAGTTCTCCGCTTCCAGATTCTTGTTTCTTTTATAAATGAAACCTTAAAATTCACTAGTTCTCTGTGTGAATCTGCATCTGGGTCAATAAACTACAAACCATCGTGACAGTTTGTGCAGACATTAACAGGACACAGCCTACACATGGCCATCTCTAAATATATGACTACCTATTTTGTCTCTAGTTACTTTAACTGCAAAAATGTTAGTTGAATGGTTATCCCCATAAAGCCCAACTGTTTTTCTTCAATGAACCACATGGGGGAACCCAATCCCAGCTTTGGGAATTACTACTTTGGAGATTGAGTGATCTTAGGGATTTTAAATTAATCAAATGTTTGCTCCATAGAAAATAGTTGTGTAATATGTCGAAGAAATACAGGTGGATTAATTATTTCATTGTGAATATGCAAAAATTATTTAAAAAGCATGGAAAGTCCAGAGGAATTTGAATAAGACAAGCCAATAAGAAATGTAACAACTAGTTTAAAAGATTAACTTTATACTGAGTATTACAAAATACCTTAAAAACAGAAAAAATACAGTAGAAACTGTAGAAAAGTAAAAGGAGTAGAAAATAGAAAGAAAAAGTAGTAAGAAGTAGTAAGAAGAGTACAGTAAGCTGCAGAGGAAAAGAGACAGAGCTGGAGCAACATGCAGCTAAGTTGATTTTCTTTATACCAGCTTTTTGCAGTACATGCTTACGTAAAGCAGAGACTGCAGTTGCAAACATTACAGCTTGATTTTAAGAACCCTGCTCAATGCTATATGAATCTCAGACTAACAGACCTCTGTGTGTGGGTGTATTGCATGCAAAAAGCAAGACTAGCAAACTTTAAAATATAAATCAATGGTTTTGTTCACAGCAATCATGCATCTGCTCATTTGGCAAAGAATGGCCTTACATCAAAGCAACGATTGATAATCAGATTCCCAAATTAGCTGAATAAGCGCATAGCTAAGCGTGTACCAGCCCTGCTGAGGTGAAGCGCATACCTTTAGCTTTGACTGGATCTCGCGAGATTTTCTCCGGGCGAGAACCTGCAAGTGGCTAGAAACCTGCACAGAAGAATAGCCAAAAGGAGGGAAGAGGAAAGAAGACAGGGAGAGAAAGGACACAGGGAAGAAAGGGAGAAGCCGTAACCAAAGAGGAAAGAGACGCCCAGTCAGTGTTGCCGGGAGGCAGGCCGGCGGCACCTACCTTTATACCCGCCTGGTATTCACGAACTTTCTTCCGTGCTAACACCTGTATGTGACTAGACACCTACAAGGGTGTGAAACAGTTTTCAGGAAATAAATAACATGCACTCAAATTCCTACTTACACACACACACATAAAAAACATGCATGTGCACACATGTAGAGGGTATACACTTATTTACAGGAACAACATAAATATTCAGAGGGCAGAAGATTTCTGAAAACAATGAAAGCTAAATTTAAAGGATACAGATCATAAAATACCTTTTATTAGATTACCTTTAAGTTAAACTGGCAGTTAGTTATCTGAATCATAATGCTGATGATACACAAACATAACACAGCATCAGCAGAGAAGTATTTATGGTGCTAATTGGAAAAAAAAGTGTGAAGAAGTTATTGCTCTGAAATTCTGACCTAAATCTGGTGTTACGATACAGTAAACACATCGCAAAAAAAAAGAAAGAAAAAGCAAACCTTAATGCGTAAATGTCTTGAATTACCAATAAAAAAATCAAATACTCCTGGATAAAGCTGAACAGTTTAAGTGAATAGTCATTTAGAGTTTAGAACCTTAGGTAAGTTTAACAACATTAAAGGCAGTAATTTTGTCTTATTTTTTAAATTTTATCATTATCAACAGCAAGTATTGTGGGTTATATGCATGGGATCCAACCGACAGAAAAACAAATATCAAATTTAAAACCATTAAATAAAAAAAAAAAATGTAGTTTAGAGTACAGATAGACCGATACAGCCACTAGAAAATATTTTTGGCCCATATAATTGAGGGGGAGATTTGCATTAATATCAACTGATACGTACATACATTTGCTGATTCATTAGCACATTCAGTATCCATGTCATTAAATCAAGTAAAATATATGTATCGCTGCTCACTCCACTTGCTATCCATTGTTAATATTTTCTTTAATTTGTTTGTGGAACAAAAAGACCAATACGACAGTCAGACAATATTTTGTCTTTTATATTCTGCATGCTGAACTGGAGAGCTCCTTCAGTGATAAACTGCGGCACCGTAAATGCACCAGGGAGCGTTATCACAGATACTTCCTTCCAGCAGCTGTAAGACTCTATAACCACCACTGTTCCCAAAAACCTCAATAAGTTGTTACATTCATAATTATTTTCATACTTTCATACTTTTCATTTTTGTCTTGGTCAGTTAAAAAACGTACTGTCATTTTGCACATCTCTGGTGTTTCCATATCCACTACTGTAAAAATGTCCACAGCTATATATTGATAAAATGTATAGTAAATTGTAAAAACACTGTAAAGTACAATATTTTATTTTGTTTGTTTATCTCTGCCACATATATTATTATTTTTTATACACCTTTAAAGTCCACATTTTCCCACTGTTTCACAATAAAGGGATGTTCTATTATATTCTATTCTAAATAAAATGATACAATTTTCTTGAATTTATTAATAAATGTTTCTTTTTTATTGGTACTTTGGTAAAATTTTTTATCATTGTGTCATTCTTAATCATGTAAATAAAGGAAAAGAAAGCAATATTGGCCAAAAGCCAATATTGGAACCTCGTCCCAAAAATCAGCAGCACAGATCAGGGATCGGCATGAGTTGGCCTAAAAAAACTTGTATTAGTGAAACTCCAGTTTGGAGGAGTTAACATTAAAATAAGATTGCAAAAAATACCTACTCCTACTGTATAGTCTGTACAGTTTATTTCATGGCTGATACCTTATTTGTTTTTAAGGAAACCGCTAAACTGTTTTTTTGTGGACCAAAATTTGATAACGTCTTTTAAAAGATAAAGTTCTTTTCATCAAAGGGACTATTTTACTTTTTTGGAAAAAAAAAATCATAAAATAAAACCAGACTTATTCTTTAACATTTTTGACAGGTATTGATCAAACTAATCGGTCTCTTTGTGAACCGGTTTACAGTAGCATAGACAATCTTATAAAAATCATGCATGTGTTTTTGTTTTGTTTTTCTTTGTAAGCACTAGTTTACCTGCTTTCTTGTGCGGGTTTTGCCTGTCCTCAGCTTGATGTACCTTGCTATCAACTCATTGCGACCTATGAAAAAAAGAGAAAAAAGAAATAAAATTTAAAGAAAGAACAGCAAGCACTAAACCATTTCTCAGTATATCCCAAATTGGACAGCAGATGGCGCTGTTCTCTTAATCTCAAAAGGAAAGCTGTGCCCCAGAGTTCATCTTGAAATCAGTTGTTAAGATTAACAATCCAGCCATTGTCTCCTGTTACATATTATCTCATTAATCAGTACAAATACTTGGGTTCATTTCTTTTGCCTTTAGGTTTTGATTTACTTATTTAACATTCACTAGTGTCACATTGACATACAAACTACTTTCAAACATTGCTTAGAAAACAGAACCAGGTTTTTCTAAGACATAACCTTTAAAGTTTTTTTAAGACTAATGGAAATTCAACACCTTGTGCAGTTCAAAGCCCTGTAATCCAGGGTATAGTTTGTTCGGTGCGCATGGTTTTAGAGCAAACTAGGTTTTATCAAATGGAAATCCTTGGTGGTGAATGGACAAAACAAAAGGCTGCCAGATATTGCCTTAAAGGAAACTGAGAGCAGAGGACTTTAAGGTTTTTCTCTGCCAAGTCACGCTTATTGGGTTTTTGTGGAAATTGGACTGAAACGAGAGGCTGAACCACCATATCATTAGAAATAATGCTTCTAAATTTGCTGACAGAAAATTATGCTGACAAAACTGGTCAAGACGTGCCTTTTTAAACCCAAGGCGTTTAACAGCTTTCTAGATGCATAATGACAGGAGAAACATCTTGTATTTGGCCTCTAGAAGGCACTGCTTATTGCAATTACCATAAAAGTACCGCAAACCATCTTCAGCAGGCTTAGAGCACTCATCGTACAAACCAACCAGTCAGTCCGGCAGTCGGCCAGCAAAGCAGAGCTGAGCCATCTGCCGATACTGAGGAAGCCCCTCCCCCTGCTGCCCCAGGCCAAGGATGGACACACCCGCTTCAGCGCCTCCGCATTCCTCACATTCCTGAAAGCCTGTCACATCTGTGCTGGCCAGTCTGATTGGGCCTACAGACACAGAGCTTGGCTGAGTGTACACATGCTCAAATGGACCTCCAGCTCTGGGAGAAACAGGGTTAGAGCTGGAGTGAACCTCATCAGGCTGGGGTGGAAGGGTGGTTCATGGGGTATAAAGGGGGGAAGAAATGGCAGCTGAAAAGGGCAGGGGCTTGTGGAGAGAGCACAAAGCCATAACTGTTTCTGCCAACAACTGCCACCTGGCAGCAAGGCAGCCTCTTTTCCCAAAACAGCACCTCAGTGTGACCCCACAGCTAACGGACAACAGCACCTGCTGCTGACCATCGAAGCAGAGGGTGGCAGGGAAAGAATAACGCCTGTTCAACCCCCACCCAACCCTCACACTCAATCTTATGCTGCTGGAGAAGAAAGAGTAAACATTGCATCACTGAGGTGTAAAGATTTTCACTAAAATGTCAGTTACTCTACTGTATACTGACAAACACAAGACTGAATTGTATTTTTACAATTAGGTATTAAAAGAAAAACAATCCAGTATATATGATATACAAAACTATATATTTAATTAATTTATTCTCTTTACACAACATCTGACAGATACAGTATGTGATCAGGGCCAGATTTAGAAAACAGCGGGCCCTCTGGACTAAATTGAGTATTTTAACATACACCTATGCTGTTAAAAGACCATAGAGTGACTTTTTAAAATGCCATAATTTCTAGCAAATTGTCTATCAATGCAAAATTAAAATGTTGCAGTTAATATGCCAGATATGTATTTGGCAATAGAATGCCTTTATAGAAATGTACAAAATGCAAAGCTGGCGTGGAGCATGACGTTAAAGCCCACTGTTGTTCCTTCACCTTGGACTTACTAGTTTCTGTTGAACATTTTAAAACATAGCGTTAAAGAGAGCAAAGAAAAAAATGGTCAAAACTTGAGGCCATATATTCCAAATATAAATATCACCAGTTTGTGGATGGAAATGATACCAGCACAGGGTCAATAAAAAGGGTAAAGACCTTTATAAACCTAAATAAGAGAAGCTCAACATTAAAAAATAACCAAGATTAAAAGATAAGCTGATTACAGCAACTCATCCCGGTAATGATCACCTCTGTCAGGGTTTTTTCTTGTCAAAGAAGACCCAGTAGAACTGGTTGTATCGGATGGCAGTTTTTATTTTTCTAGTCAGAATGCTTCCTTAAACTTTTTACAAGAAATGATGCACAGCACTGTGGGTCTGCAGCTGCAGCAGCTGACATCTGCTCCAACTTGAGACCGTGGTGAGGGGGGTTAGGTGGGGGTGATGGGGTGGAAAGGGAGTCGATGGTTATGTGTGGGTCAGAAAGCCAAAGGTCCCCATTTCAGGGAACCAGAACAGGTGAATATAAACAGACACACTCTTATTCGTCTGAGTTCACAACCTCATTGTCCCCGGTGTTGCACTTTTCTCTGCAGCAGCACATTCAAACCTCTCATGATTGTTTCGTTGATTGCTCAACAGTCAGTCAGATAGCTGCAAGCTGCCATTCTTAACTCCCCTGGCGAGACACACCCTTCCTTCGCTTTTTTTTTTTATATGACCACTGGAATTTTCCACTTTCACGCTAGGATAGTGAGTGAAAAGGTAATCTTTATTCAGACATCATCTACTGCTCCATCTGAACCCTTTTAGCTCCCTTATTTTCCTCCCTCCTACTAAATTGTTAACATACTGCTCAGCCATGACTGAAAACATTCCTAACATCTCAGCGAGGGAGCTGACAGGGAAGCACCAGGCCTGCTCAGTCATCAAACAGGCCATGTGCCTACATCCAAACACTTAAGTGCTCCAACACCCCTGCGCATGCATGCAGCGAACCTGCCGCTAATTCGGACCTCCAAGGTCAGAACAGACACTAACCATCTTCTGGCACGTTTCGCCATTTTCATACCCAGAGTGCTTTGCAATAGTAACAGCTGCAGGGGTGTGGAAGCAAAGAGGCGTGTGCTACACCTGTCGAGATCAGAAAACGCAGGTGAACAGCGTGTCAGCACAACCCCAAGGCAAAACAAGAAGGATTACATTTTTTTTCCAAAATGCTTCCTCTGAATTCAGCGTTGGAATTTAAATGTGAGCTATTTATCTTAAGCAGAACAAACCTTAAAGGATTAAATATTCTCAGATGGTTTTTATTTTAATATTTTAGTCAACAAATACCGATGAAAATTTTGGTCATGGTTCTGCTCCAGTCAGTTACAGCAAATCCATCCGATCTTTCGCTAGAATAGGAAAATACAGCATTATGTCATCATGTAAAATTAGTCTGAAGTAATTTTGTTTTGCTGCTTTTTTGTTGCTTTGAAATCCATATTAATAGTTCAAAAGCATTTTATTGGATTCAGGCCTGAAGTCTACAAGTTTCATTCTTTTGAGATGTCATTCTGTTGTAAACTCATCTCATGCAAAGCCTCTCCAGATCATGTGTCATATTTTCTTTCCTATTTAGGTACACAAAGCCTGTCCTCCATTTTCCATCATATAATTGGCAGGTCTAATTATATTTCATTAGATTATATAAGCTGACAGATATTTAATGTAATATAATGTGCTTTACATGAGTAGCTCAATGAATCAATATGGCAGATAAACAAGAAAATCAATAAGCACACAAAAAATTAAAACAGCGTTTTCAAATAAAGCAGCATTAGAAAAGTTGTGATGAAAAACAGCAAGTTTGGATAGATATTTGGAGTGTTTAATGTAAAATTGTGAGTTTGTGTGAGTTTTCATTCCCATATTAAACATCACACCGCAGGTAAATCACATATTTACACCAAATGTTAACACTTATTCTGGTTGGCTTATTTAACCACTGCTACATTTCAAAAGAGTGATTATTTCTGTTGAATTCTGCAAGAAAGCTTTTATCGCTTAAAGATTTAAGCCAAATAACTATTCCAATGGTTTGAGACAGAAAAGACTAATTTATTTGGTGTGCGTTTTAGGATGCAACCTTTTAACTATTTCCTGAAACAGCTCACATTACTCTTCCTTGAACTCTCAGTCACCCCAAAGTTATCTGAATGAAAATAAATGCCAATGGTCTAGACAGCCTTGTGGAACACAGATTACGCTTGTATAAAACTGTCCACTCGCTAATGGAATTTTGCTAAGGTTTCCCACCAAAAGAAAAAAAAAATGTAAGAAAAAAAAAAATCCTCGCAGAAAAAAAGTGGAATTCGTGATTGTAGTGATGACTTGTCTGCTTTTGGAGGCCACTGAGAGTCCGAGACTGCAAGGTAGACAGTATTACATGCAGCACAATCGTTAACATTCCCCCAACCTCACGTCAGGGCAGCTTTTAGACATCTGAGGTAATCACCTTGTGCGAGGGCTTCTTCTGGGGCATTCCTTGGCTCTGCCAGGAGAGCCTCAGATGACTTATTGTAAATGGAGAGGGTGTTTAGTGCCTTGGGGAGAAAAACAGGCTCTAAAAGGGGTCCTGACAGTTTGTTGCTATGGAGGAAAGTTTGTTGCTTAGCCTTCTTTATTGCTGACAGTCTCACAGCAAACCATGAAGGACGACACAGCTCTGCCAAACAGGAATGGAAACTTATACGGTTCATAAAAAATTAAATCATCATATATGCTTGTATGCAGAGAAATCCTAAAATAAACTTGTAGTACACAGACTCTGCCATATTGAAAATTATGCATTAAAATACTTTACAATAAGAAATCCTTTTTTTCAGAACTGATTTTAGGTTTTACTTTATAAAACCAAATAAGGTCTCAATAAGGCTGTGGCCTTATTGAGACAACTTCAGATTCAATCTGCCATTTTCATTATCTAAGAACAGGCTTATTTTAGCTGAAGGCATCACATTTAACTAATTATTGCCCTTAGAAAATTACAGATCCTAAAGGATAGTTTTTTCACCATATAGTGATGCCTGCAGCATATTTACTTGATTTCAACCACGTAGGAAGACATGATCGCACAAGAAAAACCACTACCATCTTCAGCACAGCGTCATTTACACTTGATCACAAGATAAACCAGGCTGCCACGGATTTTTCTAAATAACACTGCCCCTGTTTGCTTGGAACTAATTGTGAAGTGAATAGAATCATTTCATTTCTAATTAATTAGTCAAATATGATAGAGCTTAGAGGTATTGATAAGGCATGGAAATTTTATACAAAAATGCTCAGTTGAGCCTCCAAATAAAAGAGGAATAAATGAGAGTCTGACCTACAGAGGAAATAATTATTTTGAAATTCTTGCTCGAACTATTTAGGATAGCGTTATGGGCCCATGTTATTCCCTCTTCCCCATTAAAAAAATTGAAAAATCAAAATAATTTAAATAATCAACCAGATTAATAGGATTTTTAAATAATGGCCTGATTTAGAAATAATGAACTTGAAAATTGCAGTACAGACTCCAAAATTTACAATTTGCTAAAAGGACAACCATCTTAACACAATAATGAAGCTAAAGGCATATACAAATATGTAATATATATATCATACATTTTTTCCTTTAAGTGGATACATATTCTTTGTCAGTAAATATGTCTGTACAGAGACATATTTAAACTTCACCAGGTTAAAATTCTGCAATAAAATCTATATTAAGCACTTTTATTGTCTAATTCACTGGTTAATTAAAAAAAAAAAACAGATTAATCTCTAAGCTAAATAATCACTGGCTGCAGACCCTCATTTGAATAATTCCCTGGAGGCTGCCTGTATAAACAAGGCAGAAGCAAAAGGCTCTTAAAAATATGAAAAAAAATTATACATTGTTTTTTAAGATGCTGGCACATATAAAGCATTAATAAAAATTATACGTATATATGTACCTAACAGAAAACCAAACAAAGTGTATATTAACAGCATTATGTGACATTTTCAAAACTCAAAGAATACTTACAGCATACTAAGTGATTAATAAAACAAACTTTTCTGACATATGAGACCATAAATAAAATGTACGGTAAGAATCTGCACATACAAACCAGCCCTATGTTAGGTAAAAAATAAGTGGTCAGTTTTCAAAGAAGTATCTTTTTGTTCTTTTTTTCAGCACTTTTTTAATGAAACATTCGCCCATTTTGCCACATCTTTCCCAATCTCTTTTTCGTTTGTTTTTTAAATCTGTAGATAATAACCAATGTATTCAAACCATGTTGAAAGTGTTTCAGCAAACCACAGCAATGTTTGGAAGTTTTCTGGCATTATTGATTGTTTATCCTCTCCCAGCATGAGCTTTGTTTTTGATTTTTAAAGTCTGCAGACCAGTTGTAAGAATGGAAAAACACTGTAAAATAAATGAAATGCACCAATCGCCACGCACACCGCTGTATTTGAGAATGAAGCATGCGTACAGTAATGTAAGGTGAAATCTCTGACCTGTAGCTCAGAAACGTTTTATTTTAGTTCCTCCATGTTATCAAACTGAACACATTTAAATTAAAGAACTACTAATTCTCTCATTTATTGCGGGAGAGACATTTTGCAATGAGTGGAAAGACATTAAATGTAGTGCTATGTCTTTTGAAGGCTGGTTGCTGTTGAGGACCCCTGGCTCTAAGGGGAGCAAATGGCATTTAGGTACCATCAGATTGTACAGAGACAATTTGAAGTGAGTGCTGCTTTCGCTTTGTTCCGGTACTGCATCACACTTTTGACTCCTAATGTTGCACAATACTGCGCCAGCTTTCTTTCAGCCCTGATCTTCGCATACACACGACATTCAAAAGAAAAGCACAACAAAGCAACACGTACAAGGAGAATATAATTATTGCTTAACTCGAGGAAAATAAATTAGGGATTAAAGTTTACCCCTCTATGAAGCTCTAGACTTATGTTACTAAAGATAACTTTATTTCTCTTTCTAAATTTACATGTTTACTTCTAAAGAAATCTCCACATTATTTATCAAGAATGTAGACAACTTAATTGTGAATACAATCTTATTTATACTGACAAAAGTTAGTGTATTATTATTATTAAAAAGTACATTTGCAAAAAGGTTTTATGTAATAATAGAGTTTTGATGCATAATATGAATTTAGAGAGGAACATTTCCAGTTTCTTAACTGAATTGATTTTATTTTTGTATATAATTTATTGAGGAGGATTTAAAATTCTGGAGTGTTGCACAGACATTAAGACAAAAATATAATCTGATGTATAAATGGTCATGACTATTGCTTTGGAAGTTGTATCATATGAGTATCATTGCAAAGCATTGTGCAGTTTTGTCAAAAGCATTTACTCTGCACAAATAAAATAGTTTGCACCTGCTGTTTAGTTTGCATGTACTTTTATACAAACAAAATGTTGAGGATGCATGTTTATTACAGTGTTTTGCGGGGGGTTTGGCAAGCATTCATTTAGTGTCCTAATTGTTTTTGGTCCCCTGATTTAATCTTCACAACTTTTACCTAAATCCACACATATAAAGAGTAAGTTGCTCTGGATTGAGTTACCAAGTTTGTAGCCAATTATGTAAAAAAAGTTTGAGCTCATCCTTTCATGTTAAAAAAAATATTTGCTGGTGTTCTGTCAGTTCAGCATACACCATCAGTGGCATACATATAGTCAATGCGCGTGCATGCAAATTCTGCACCAAGTACAGAATACATAGAGGAGCTGTCAATTCCTCTTATGCAACAAAAAACAAAAACAAAATGTGAGTATTAAAATAGTCTTTTGTACTTAAATAAAGTGATACACACACATTGAGATAGTTTAAAGTTTATTTAGAGAAGTATCTAGCTGCAGCCGAATACAAAACACGTCCCATGCAAACACGCCTCCCGCCTCGCCAATCGATCTGAAAGTTTAAGTGCATAATTATCTGACAGGTTAGCTGCTATGTCAGAGTGTCATACAGCCATAAATATCGAAGTGTATGACAATCTGACGGGTTGAGTGACTGACGATCAGACAGGTTAACTGCTTTGTAGGGTTGTGAAGTGTCAAACAGAAAGTGTTGTTTTCTGTGTTTTAAAGAAGTTTAACTTTAAATTATGTTAACCTCTGACTACAACATTTTTTTTATTACACCCTGCACAAATAAACTAGCCTAGTTGACTTTCGGTATGCAATTCTGTTAAGTTTGTGTATAAACTTTCGACTACAACTTTTGGTTTAATGATATCGCTCATAAAAAAGTAGCCTAGTAGACTTCCTGTATATTACTTTCTTAAATTTTTTGCTATGCGTATGGCGATCTGACAGCGTATGCTGACTCGACAGTTTTAGAGTCAGTACGCGCTACACGTATGCTACTCTGACAGAGTATATTGAACTGACAGAACACAGGGTCTCTTCATGAAATCCAGGATATGTTTAATTTGTTTGGAGACATAAACAAAGCTTGACAGATTACACATTTACAACCTGTGATTCTTTTTTTTAATCAATAAGACTGTATTTATTCTTAGTAAACTTGAATTTTCTCATTTTAGTGCCAATATTATCCTAGGTTTTGATGTTTTTCTCCAGACGCAAACAAAATGGAATCAGCTGGTCCCTACATCAAATTATAGAGCTTCATTGTAGTAAATTTTCTGTTTCATAAACCAAAAACATATACTTCTATCAGTTAAATTAAACAAGATCATGCTAAATGTTTGTTAGAAAATACCTCGTATCAGAGCGGCTCTACCCAAGTTCAGAAAGAAAACAAAAATAGGGCAAAGAAAAATAACCACACTGACTGAGAGTATTTAGACATGTCCCTGTCCTTCAGTATCTAAATCTGTCTGACAAATGAGAGGATGAGATTCCATCTTGGGTGATTCACACCAAAAGAATCCAATCTGACGTCATAAGTGCCAAAAAGGCCTCCTGACAACAGACAATTATCTCTGAACAGAAACAACACTTCTAAAAAGCTTAGTTACAGATGCAGCAGCACAAATCTTAGTGTTTTTTTTATAGCTGGTTCACAATGGTTGCAAAAAAACCTATAGTTTCAGCCCTACAGGGATGACTTTTTGGCTCTCAATGACCAGAAAACAACACAGAAGGCTTTGGAAAAATAACGTCTAAAAACATGAGTTGCTGCTTTGTACGATCTCCATGTACGAATGCAAATTCAATCAAAAGACAACTTGAAAAGAGAACCAAAATAGACAAGTGTGATTAATTTGCTCCACCTGGATGCTAGTTATTTTGCTGGAACACATGCCAGTAACTCCATCTGGAGGTTTTAGGTGCATCAAGGGCTCAACACCTGCAATTTTATGAACATGCAGCAGGAAACAACACAACCACATGGATATTTAAAAACTTCAACAGCAGGCTATGCCAATGCAGTGTTTTGTTCTTAGGTCTTGCTTCATGCTGTGCTAATTATCTCTAATCTAACCAAGCGATCCAGGATCAAACACAACCGTTTTAACCAGTCACCCACAGGCAATGGTTTCCTAGTACTACAAGTTTAGAGAGAAAAAAACACAGATTATGGCTGTTTGAAAAAAATATAAATGTTTGAAGAGAAGAAAAGACCTGAGAATAGAAACCAGGGCATAAATAAGAAGATTCTGCAGGAACAGACTGGTGTAAATCAGGCGGGAAGATGAGCTGAGCTTCTCTCAGGATAGCAATAACCACCTCTAAAAGTGCTAGTGTGACTGGAAGAACCAGCCCGTGGGTCACAGCTCAACAGGTACAGACCTGTTAAACAGAGCTACGAGTGGAAAGAAAACACTCATCTCTGAGTTTAAGTTGTGAAAGAAGTGTGAAGGAGAGTGAAAAGTAATCCTGTTATTTCCATTCAAAGGAGAAAATACAACATTTGCCTGTTTTTTTAGAGTCAAATCACTTCATGCTTATGGCTTCTCATTATAAGCACTCCTGTTGTTTTATACCCTTGTTCTTTTTTGTTCTCGTGCTGCTCTGGCTACGTACTCACCATACATTTTCCCCTCATCTGACAGGATAATTTTCCTTCTGCCACAGGGAGGGTAGATTGCAAGGGCCTCCTGAAAACTCTGCTCGATATCTGGGCTCCAAACGCCCTCTGCGTCTCCATCCATGGTTTTGTCCTCATTTTCCCCGTCCAGCCCATCTTCTGGGCTACCGTTCGCACTCCACTCGTTGGACGCAATGGTGGCGGCTCCCCCTGGGCCCGACCCTGAGCCCCAAGATCAAAGGATCAGCAGGGAAATCTGTAGACAAAGCAGGTCAGAAGTTTTCACTTTTATCCTTTGAGTCAGCAGCACTGAGATTTTTTTTATCCAACTGACATTTTGTTATATCACATAACTCTCATAAGAAGTAAAATTTACATTTCATTTTAGACTGAAGGTTAAACCAGGTTGACATTTGCAGAATTTTTAGCCACATCTGAGCTGTACTGAGTGTACAAAATAATAATGATGGATTGTGAATAAAGGATTGTAAAGATTAGGAGTTTATAATCAACAGACAGTGATTAAAAATCTCTTGTCTGGATATTTTTTAGGATTTAATAGGTTGAATTTTCAAAGACTTAACCAGCTCATTTGTCCACTGGTTCAATTAACCTAAGTTATGCTTATCTAGAGATATTTAAAATACTTCAAAATAAAATGTTGTTGCCCTTATAGTTTTATTTGATTTAGTTCCATTCATTTTATGCAATTCACAAAATGTTTAAGAAAACCTAAATAACTGCTTTGAGTCATTGTCTTTGCAGATTTCCCTCCTCCTGAATGTAGCGAGAGCAAAATATCCCTGCATAGTATAGTTGGCTTTACAACAATCCCTCATACTGCTTGATACACTAAGAGCAAATCTAGTCAGCATTTTAGAAACTGTGCATATGAAGCCTGTGTTTGGAAAATTATCAGTGTCCTTAAACCAATAAGGAGATCTAAACTGTCAGGACTGCTGATTAAAGAAAGAATAAAGTCAAGAATAACTCATTACAACGGCAAGTTTTCAACATCTCAGTCTCTCTGCTGTTTGTGGTATTATGCCAGACTATACAGAAGATTTATAAGAACACATTACTTCTGCTCTTTAATAGCCAGCTGACTAAAAAGTCAGATGTTACTTTTGCAAAAATACCTTTCTGTTTGAACTTTCTGCCCCAACATGGTGGGACTTTTAAACAACAACCCGTCTAACAAACTCAGAATATAAGAACAAGACCTCAAACTGAGTGTCAGAGACAGAAGATTGCAGAATCCTAACACGGCTTTGCTTAAAAGCAACACTAAATTATAAACCAAGATCTACTTAAGTTTTTTGACGAAAACCAAGTAGAAAATCAGTTAAATGAATACATGATTGAAACTTTCTTGCAAACTGTCTTTTGGATGATTACAAGCCATCGTTTGTCTCAATGAGACACCAAACCAGTTGGACGACTAAGTGGAAGTTTGGAAACTTTTGCTATTTAAGCTGGACGAACAAGTTCTAAGACTGCATGAAGGCACTGATCTGAGATAACCAACCAGCAAACAAGTTAGAAGTTTTTAAACTTTTTGCTTTTAAGTATCTGATAGGAGATTCTTTGTTAAATGCTTATATGGATTATTGGTTTGTCTCTACCTCTTTTCACACTGCGCTAACCTCAAAAATGCTTTACCTATGAAAACGCAAGGAAAAGAAAAGCTGTGAGAATTCATGAGAAGTACAAGGTTAACACTTTATTTTCACAGGCTTGTTTTGATTACTACACTTTAATCTATACTATGTCTCATAAATGTTCAGATGAATTCAAGATATTTCATAAAACAAAGTTTAAAGACCCCAATAATCAGCATTGGTCTCTGAGAATGCTTGTGGTTTGGGAACTGTTTCCCCATGTGGTCGGATTATAGCTGACTGGAGGAAAAGATCTTAAGTATTTTTCAAGCTGTCTTTTCAGTTGTATTGTTTCTGTATGAAAAGGCAATGAGGTAATGATCTTTTCAGGATGTTTCTCTTTCTGTTTTAACATTTTAACAGACAATGACAAATGTCTAGTAAAATGGATAAATACAGGGAGCACATCTGAGAATGAAACATGAACCAAATGGACGTTCTGAGTTTAAAGAAAAGATTAAGACAGCCATAATGAATTCAAAGTATTTGCTATGGTTTTATTATAAGCTGTGACCTCATGAGGCAATAATTATAGGTCAGAAAGCTTTTTATCTTTTTAAATTAGCAATGAAGCATTACTTCAATGATGAAACATTATTTCTGAACAAGAAAATTAAATAGAATTATATTAGTTCTAACATATAAAACAAATCCTTTATGTTGTCTTTTTGAACTTCATCTACACAGTAATCAGTTACAGAGATATACCGCAGGAAAAACGAACTAGAAATAAGTAAAAATTTCTTAAATTAAGCGTATTTACCATTAATTTGAGTAGGTAAATGAGAGTTTGCCAATAGAATGAGTATTTTTTATTTTACTAGATAATAAGCACTTGAATTAAGAATGCAATTGTGTTTTCTTTTTTTAGGTGTAAATTTTCTTTCTTTCCATTGACAAAATGTCTCTTTTACCTCCTCAATCCAAGAACAAATGCACTTATTTTATAAGAAAAAATGACTTATCTAGATTTCGATATTTTTCCAGTGTAACAAGTCCAGTGATTTTATTTTAGGGTGACAGCATTGATACAAATAGTAAACATTTAAAAAGGTTTTATAATAAAAGTTTTATGAAAGTTTTAATTCCCTCCAACATAAATGTGGAAACAAGTTTCCATTTACGTTATAGAGGATCATGTTTTAATTCTTGGTGGATCATCTAAATAAGTGGTCGTCGTAATTGTCAATCTTTCTGGTGATCTGTTTATGTAAGTCCGTCCTACATGCTCATCCCGTTAGCTATATTGGCATAGTCATTGAAGCTCAACTTTCTCACTGTGGTTCTTTGAAAATGGCAGAGGGTCGTAAGAAAAAATGTCTACGAAGTGTATGAGAAGAAAAGAAAGGCCTCAGAAGAGGCAGATATATCCCACAATGCTTTGCGCAGAGAGCTCTCCCCACAAAGCCTTATGGGATTTGCTGGCACAGCAGCCCGCTGTCGCCATAGGCTGTCGCTACCTGACAATAATGACAAAGATGGCGCAGGCACTGCGTAGTGAAGGAGGAGTTACATGACCATTGGGGAGCAAAAAGCAATGTTCATCTGCTCTATAAAGTGATCGAGGGGTTTAGGATAGAGCGGATGTTCGAGTGTGCACAAGGAAAAACAGGCTTTTGCATGCCCATTTTTTAAAGTGGAGAAGGCGGGTCTTTTAAAAAATTTGTGAAAATCCTCGACAATACCTTTAAGCTGCAGACATTGCCATCCATAAAAAACCTTCTACATTTGCATCCCAAGAGGAAAACTAAGCACACTTTGTGAAATGTTGAGCTATATACAGCTGTTGTATTTCTCACAATTTGCCCCCATTGAATACGTACATGTGTGTTAGTATTATAAGTTTACAGTCTGGTTTTGAGTACGGAGTTACTCTCTAGTTTCAGCATCCTTTCTTTTGCAATCATCTGATTTTCTTCAACCAAATGTTTAGTGCTTCATACAAATATTCTGTGCTTTGAACTGCATACTGGTCAGATTTACCAAAGACAGGTTTAAATATCAGAACTACAGAATGTCATGTCAAAATACAAAACAAGAACATAAACAGTTTTACTAAAAAATGCTTAAACAACTATTGTGTCAGACTGAAATACCTCATCAAGGCATTTACAGCAAATACAGAAGAAGTGAAGAAGCATATAAGTCATTAGTCTCTAAAGCTTGACATATAATTTAAACAGAAGATGCTTAAGGTGTTTTCACTCCCTTTATATCCATATTGGCGATTTTGTGCAAAAAGATTAAGGTCCAACAAAGCAGTCTTCTCATTTAATGTAAGATTAACTGCAGCTACTGAACCCAAATAGACACAAGTTAACTGAGACGGTACCCTTATGACAGAGCCTTTGCAACACGATCACTCAACACTGATACTGAGCTCTCATCAGCAGCCCAAATGATCCACTGCAGACCACACAAATCACAAGGCTGGATCCCATTAGACAATAGTCCATGGCTTTAATTACAAACCATTATAACTACCTCAATTATTGAACAAAAGTAAATTTCCAGTTAAGGGTGAGCTTGTGATTTGGTAGTCTTTTGTAATCAATGTTTGTGCATAAAATGAAGAGAATAGTAAGAATGATGAATGTAAGTAGAGAGATTTAATGAAGAAAACATGTAATAATTAGTTAATATTTAACTGAGGCTCTAAAGTGGGGTCATGAAAAGTTGCTCAAATCTCTGTTACACCTTATCACATCTCATAACCCCACAAAGCAGACTTGAAACAACACAATCCTTCATTGATGTCATTCTAAAAGTAATCTTTGAATTTTAGAGCATAGCATCTGCTCAAAGTTTAAACAGTTTCGCAGTCTGGTGTGAAACTGTTTCTAAATAGATAACATGTATCAATAAGGAAACTGCAGGCGTGTGATACAGTAGCCAGTTAGGTAGTTAAAGACTGGTGGCAGGGAGAGAGAGGTAGAAAAGGCTGGCTATTGTTTATTCCAGATATAGCAGAGAACACCGCAAACCTCTTCTACACTACGAGCTGTGAAAAGCAGCAAGTAGTGCTCGGCACCACGGTCGATCTGACGACCTCGGAGGGCTCACACGAGCATGTTTGAAAGAGGTGCTGCAAAAGAGAGGCTCTTCAACGCAAGAGGGGCATGAATTCCAGACATGTCCTTATTAAGAAAGGCCTGCAAGAGCTCGCCGTTTCTCCTCCTGCCTCCCTTGTGTCAACTCAACGCCCTCCTTCCCTCCCTCTCTGCCCCCCATCCCCCTAACTCAGAAAGTCTCTACCCAAATAAGGGCAGGAGACCAGGGGATGCGTATATGGGAGGAGTGGGTTGGTTGACTGGCTGGAGAGCTGGGGAGGGAGAAAAAGGGGTGTCCGTGTGGGAAGAGAGGTGAGGGGTATTGGAAAGGGAAGGGGGTGGGGGGCAGATTGTTGTCCAATTTAGGCGTCCACTTTGGGGTCTGGAAAACAGTGGGATTGTTCCAGCTGGAATGCAACATCAGCACTGAATCCCTCCTGCTTTATGACGCTCAGAACTAAACTAAAGGGAGGGCAAAGCTATTTTTCAGTTTGTCCTCTGTGGTCGTCCCAGGGTTGAACTAAGGATACGTTTTTTTTAATAAA